TTTGCTGTTGCTGCTGTTGTTGCTGCTGCTGCTGCTGCAGAGTGGAGGAAGCATTGCCTCTTGCTGCTGCAGCAGCAGCAGCAGCAGCAGCAGCTCCCTACGCTTTTGCTCGTTACCTGGTGTACATACACCTGGCGAGATGTCTGCTGCGGAAGGCTGTCTTATCATCATCAAGGTTTGCTGCTGCTGCTGCTGCTGCTGCTGTTGCTGCTGCTGCTGCTGTTGCTGCTGCTACGGCTGTTGCTGCTGCTGCTGCTGTTGCTGCTTTTGCTGTGTTAGCGTTGTTGCATGCATTATTGGCGCTCCTACAGCTGCTGCTGGTGCTGCTGTTGCTGCTGCTAATGTTGCTGTTGCTGCTGCTACTGCTACTTCTACTGCTGCTGCTGGTGCTGTTGCTGCTGCTTTTGCTGCTGCTGCTGCTGCTGCTGCAGCGATGAGGAGTATGTGAATCTGGTGCTGGAGGCATACGACCTGCTGCAGCAGCACGTGGAGGCAGCAACCTGCCGCTGCAGCAGCAGCAGCAGCAGCTGCTGCTGCAACGGCTGCTGCAGTGAAGCACACAAGTGTACGTACACCCCAAAGCATATAAAAATTAATAATTTATAGATATACACCCGCACTTTATTCTGCTGCTGCTGCTGCTGCTGCAGCTGCTGCAGCTGCTGCTGCTACTTTTCTGTTTTTGCTGCTGCTACTTCTGCAGCTGCGGCTACTGCTGCTGCTACTGCTGCTACAACTGCTGCTACTAGTGCTGCTATGGCTGCTTCTACTGCTGCTGCTGCTGCTGCTGCTGCTGATGCTGCTGCTGCTGCTGCTGCTGTGTTGCAGTGCTGCGCGCCTGCCGCACCCTCATGGGGGCCGCCGGGGAGTTGTCTCCCCCCTCGGAGATGACGCAGGAAGCAGCAGCAGAAGCAGCAGCAGCAGCAGCAGCAGCAGCAGCAGCAGCAGAAGCACGGCAGCCAGAGGCAATGCTGCAAGATTGCAAATAGCAGCAGCAGCAGCAGCAGCAGCATCAGCTGCTGCTGCTGCTGCTGCTGAACTGATATAGATTGAGCTGTTGCTCTTTTTTTGCTGCGACTTTGCCTCAAGGGTTTAGGGTTTAGGGTTTGGGGTTTAGGGTTTGGGGTTTAGGGTTTAGGGTTTAGGGTTTTCTCTCTTTGTTTTTATTTTTGCTTTTCTCTGCTCGTGCTGCAGCAGGTTGCTGCTAGCTGACTTCGCGGTGTACATACACTGCAGTTAAATATATGCAGTCATTGCAGCTGTTCTTGC